TTTCTTCCCAACTTTTAATCAGCTTAGTGAAAATGCATGGCATTCCGACTGATACTCCAAGCGACACACAGAAGTCATAACAAGCAGCTAGCTTGTTATGGTCTTGAAGGAAAGGTACTATTTTGGGGTTGTTTGTCCCTAAAGGAATACTGCTTTATTCTCTGAATTAACCCACTTGATGTCTGGTCAAAGAAAGCCAAATTTCTGTACCCTGAGCTGTACAGACTATAAAGATCACAACAGGGGCAAATCGTTCACGGACAGCAGTTCCATTTAGGACATGGTAGGCAGTTCAGAAAGAGATCAAGGAAGAAGAAACGTTATTCAAAGTGTGACCTTCAAGCTCACAGAGATGAGAAGACAGCTAGCACAGGCTAAGTGTGATGGGAATTTCAGACTCTGTTTGTTCCCTTCCTTTGCACTGCTGCACAAGTCTCAAAACACAGACAGAAGCTTCATACAAACATTCAAAAAACCCTCTAGCCCCAGTGGGATTAAGTACACATATGTTTCCCTCTACTTCTGTCAGATTCTATTTGTTACTTTCTTAAGAGAAAAGGGGCAGCTTTAGTGAGAGGTGGGTTTTTCCTCCTTTCTGTCTTTGGTAAAATGTTCAGAAACGGTCTATCATAACAGTAAAACAGTTGCAGTAACACTCTGGTCTGCAGCCATCCACTTCCAGTGCATCTAGCAAGTAAAAGAAGTGCTATGTATATTGTCCTCTTGCTGGAATACAGGCATCCCATGCTACAATTTACTATGGTTCAAATTAGTGAAAATGTTTCCATCCTTTTAACTATGCTGTTTCAAACTTTATCCACTGACCTATCTTACATCAGTTTCCTCCATGCTTACATCCGTGCTATATTAACATTTGCAAAACATGAAGTTGGTTATTTTGCAACTAGCTGTTTATTTACAGCCATTTTTTCAACAGGAGGAGTAGAATAAAACAGGACTAGAATAATTCTTCCATTAATTCTCCCAGAGAGATCACAAGCCTTCTCCTGCCCTCTTTACTTCAGTTCCCTTTCGTTATTTTTCAGTTTCATAAGCTGGTTACATGGAGTCAGACATACACAAAAAATGAGATAGAGACATCCTGGCAGACTGCAGAGAATTCCCACTGTAAGAACTTTCACATCCTCCAGCAGGCAAGCAAGCCAAGGTGTTTTATAAGAGTAACCCACAAATCCTAATGAATACATTTAAGAAATTAACTGAACCATTCAACATTCATACTGCAGCATCTTGCAAAAGCCTAAAAGCCTCACCTCCAGACCGAAGCAACCAAAAGCTCCACACAAAGCTGTTCTCAACAGACTCCATATAAAAAGGTGCTTAAAATGTACACACAGAGAAAAAAAGAGATATCTAGGTTTCACCAGCTACCCTGATGAATTTTTCAGTGATATCTGGAAGTCTAGCACACCATTCACAGACCAGTGTATTTTTTCATACTAATCATATTTTAAATCTGCTCTTGCATAGACTGCAGACGAACCCTAAATTAATACAGCTCCTGAAATCAATCATCAGAAACTGCTATCTCTCCGGGTTCTAGAAGACAAGTGAAAAGAAGCAACACAAATATAAGAAAAACTTCCTTATATGGTGCAACTCAACTCCAGCTAGAATCCAGAACAAACACAAACAAAATACTCTGGTTTTATTAGTGGTGGTGAACAAATGAACTGATTTGCTTTTTGTCTTTTTCTGCTACTACAGTTTGGAAAGATAACTGAGTGAAATGAACATATTTCAAGCTGCCCTGTCATCTGAGATAGACAACATGAAGAGAAAAGCAAAAGAGAAGTTATTTTTACCTCTTCTTACAGCTCTTCTGTACATCTTGCTAAGAGGTTATTAGAATAGCCAATGGACTGGAAGCCTGCAGAGGCATGAGGCTCCTTATCACACAAACTAGATTCTTTTCTGCTCTTCCTGTAGTTACAGGAAGAAGGCAAGGGGAGGCACGTTGGCTCTATGGCACTCTGTGGTTGCTCAGCACAGAGCTTCCAGGTACAGCCAGCTCTTATGCACTGTAGTTCAGACAACAACCTCTCATGCCACATCTCCTTCTGAAGAGATTAGATACTGTCAGTCCCACACTCCAGCCATTTTCAAGCTCTGTAAGCACAGAATTATTCAGCAAGGACACAGTGCAAGTATGGGACAGACGATGCCCGTGAAAAAAAAATAGGATAAACAAGCACTAAAATGTATGATGTATAAAACAAAGTATTCAATATGATGCAAATGCCTTCCATGAACCCAAACGGGATGAAAATTTTATCCCATATATAAAGTTTTTATTCTGCAGGATATAAAGGAGTGGTGCCTATTCGCATACTTTTGTCCAATCTTAATAGAACACTTTTTCCCTCTTTCACATATAAGGCTAAATCAAAAATACTACTGAATGCCAGTCTGATCAATCCAGCTACTGGGTGATTAGTTTTTCAGTTTTTGGTTTTTTTCCCTAAATTACTTCCTAAGGAAGAGTGGAGAGATTTTTAATGATAAGGTGTCTGGGGTGACAGTATTGCATGTCCATGAAGCAACAGAAGACTGAAGAACTGCCTTTTATGAATGCAAAACATGCATTCAAATTTTGGGGAATATTTGATGAGATTTAAAAAAAAAATTAAATAACTATTTTCCAAGGCAATCTAGATATTTTATTTTCCCCATTACCCCACAGCACCAAATATGAAACAATGTCTATATGCAAAGTTGGAAATAATTTTGCTGTCACTGAATTCGAAGACATATGACTCAAGGAGTTCACAGATCTGATCCTTTTTTTCCCCAGAACTTCACATTATACTGACCAAAATTTAATGTAAAAAAACTCTCTTCACCTTTGCATTATTTTACTTATAGTCAAATGCCTCAGGTTGTATTAATTACCAACATATATTTATGCAGTAGACTTTCAGAGGAGGTAATATTATTATTCTGGGTATGACTTATCAAAATGGTGCTATGATCTCAGGCCATTAAGTATTGCCTTAATATAGTAAACATACTGATTATATTAATTAAGAGAGTGTATCTGGGATGCAGTGTCATTGGTAGAGCTATACTTAGAAGTTCAGGTGTGAATGCAAACTCTGGAGGAGTTTGAGGTTCACATCACAGAAAACAGAAGGTCATTCTTTTCTAATGAAATATTTAACAGTTATTTGTAGCTCACAGTGACATTTCACAATTGCCACACACACTATGTCTGTGATAAGTTTGTGAAGGAATGTATGTGAACTGTGAACTCGTATTACTGCTCTTGGTAACCATCACTGGTTATATTTAGAGAATAAAATAAACTCCACACTTGAGGTTGCTGCCTTCTCATAATTTCACAGTCATTATCCAGAAAGTGTACCCTTATTAAAATATGACCTACCTAATCAACTGCAACAAAAGAACCACTGAAGTTAAACCTACTGATCATCTAAGGCTTATTTTTGTGCAAAAGTTCTACTTGAAAATACCAAAACATGGCTGCCATATTGAGTGCTCCCAAGAAGGTAATTAAGTTTCTTATCAGGCAAAATAAATTTTTGCACATCCACCTTCAGGGTACAGTTTCCTTCTTAATTTCTCCAGTGTGTTGAAATACACGTGCAAATTTTGGAAGATGTGATAAACATTTGGCTTTAAAGAGCTAACTTTAGATGCTGCCAATCACCACTCTCATTCAGCTTCCACTAAGTTGCTTTCTATTTGCAATTCAGAAAGCTCTGCACAAAAATAAAATTTACATTTAACATTTGTTCAGTTGTTGGAAGTTTTCTATAGTATCTGGCCAAGACCATGAGCTGCAGGCTCAATGTTGTTTTTCAGGATATTTTACCATGACTGCTCTCTTTTAATGTTACCAAAAGACCACAACAAAAAGAGGTAAGGGAAAAAGTTACTATCCTTGGACTATCTAAACTTCTGCTCTGCTCAAACCTCATCCGCTCCAGGAACTCTTCTATAGGTAGAATATAGAAACACCAAATATACAGTAGGTATCTCTGAGAAGAGTAATGCCAAGGATAAGCCAGTCTCTAAAGTTTGCATCTTTGTGGTAATATGTCATAAGCAGTAATGAGAGAAAGAACATATGGTTAACAGGAGCCTAACAAAAGTCTAGTTTACCTCTCCCTCTACAGACCCTCAACTATACACCCTAAAAATAAAAGTATCTCTTTTGTATGCAGTAAAGAAACATTTAGTCCTCATTTTTCTTTTATTTTTCTTTTACTTCTTCCTTCCCCCCCACCCCCCCCTTTTTTTTTTTTTTTGGATTACAGTTCTACTGATATCTCCAAATTATGTTTGATGTGATCAGTAAAATAATACAGTAATAGAGTTATAGCCCTTTGTACATCCGTGATACATGTCCCTCCATCAAGCTGTAAAATTAAAAAATGAATAAGTGGAAGAGCTGAGATGTCTCCCTCCCAAAGGGACTTGATCACTTGCCATCCTCTCCAGCTGACACTTACCAATATACACACAGCAGCTCACAAAAATGCATCCGTCAGATAGTCCTGTAAAACAGCAGGCACTGCAAATACACCTTCTACTCTTGCCACTGTTTTTCTTCACATCTATTATCTTAAGGCAACATTTGCAGTATGCTTTTATACAGCATGGATTCCCATCAAATAATTGTATTCTAAGTCATATCAAAATAAATTTAACTTCCTACTTTCTTCCTCCCTACACTGACTCAGTATTTTACTCCAGAAGGTGTTGTATGTGGCTGTTCAGAAGAATGGAAAGAAATGGTATTTGTCATAAAAAAAAAGAGCAGAACAACTTGATCCAAAATTCTGTATTCCAACTTGCATCTGTCTCTGCCTTTACTTACCTGATGAATGAATGAGACACTAATTGTGATTGCCATTCATTTGGTTATCTCAACTGCTCTTGGTGCAGAAGCCTTAATATGTAAGCTTATACAATCCACAGCTATTATGGAAGACATAAAAAACAACACTGCTTACCTTTCATCCCAAACTTAGAGTGTCTTCCAAACTTCAGAATAATGAGCATTATTACTAAGCCAGTGCATACCAGTGCTGCAATTCCCACCACAACATACACCTATAAAAAGAGGACACAAGTAGATTTGTTTTGCTCTCATGAACTATCTTCAAAGACATTCATATTTATTAACCCAGTTATTAAGAAATTCATTTCAATCAGGAGGCATTTGCACTCAGATCAAAGACGACAGAAAACTGCTACTTGTTGAGGTTTCTTCCACCCTATGGAGACTAGAGATTCAGAGAACTTCTGAGAACCACTTTTTCAACATCTTACATGTTCAAGGTGGGGAAGGGACACAGAGTGGCATGTTACAGGAAAGCAAAAAAGTAAAACGTGTCAGAAAAAAGCTGCATCCAGTTCTGAAGCCCCAGCACAGGAAGAACAAGGAGTTGCTGGAAGAGGAGGAAGAACAAAGATGATCAGAGGGCTGGAGCACCTCCCCTGCATGAACAGGCTGAGAGAGCTGGGGCCCTTCAGCCTGGAGAAGAGAATGCTCCAAGACCTTACAGCAGCCTTCCAACCTGAAAGGGAACCTACAGAAAAACTAGAGAGGGACTTTTTATAAAGGTAGGTAGTGGCAGGACAAAGATAAATGGTTTTAAACTGAAAAAGAGTAGATTTAGACTAGATAATAAGAAGAAATTTGTTACTGTGAGGATGGTGAAACACTGGAAAAGGTTAGCCACAGAGGTTGTGGATGCTTTCTTCCTGAACGCATTCAAGGCCAGACTGGAAAGGGCCTTGTTCAACCTGGTCTAGAGGGAGGTGTTCCTGCCTATAGGAATGGGATAGGAACTAGACAGTCATAAAGGTCCCTTCAAACCCGAACCATTCTATGATACTATGATTTACTGTGAGAGTTGTTGAACACTACCACGGATTGCCCAAGTTGGCTGTGGAGCCTCCAACCCTGGAGATATTAAAAACAGAGACCTGCGACTGCTGTTGCCAGCCCCAGTTTGAGCCTGTGGGTGAGAAAACCAAACAATTTTCAGAAGTCCCTTCCAATCTCAGTCACTCAGAGGCTCTACTATCAGAGGAGATAAGAGTGCCTGAGATCCTCCCAGTTTTTCAGCACAGTCTATCACCGTGAAGCATTCACTGAGACAACACCAGCTGGCAGACCTTCCTTTCCTGCCTCTCCCCATATCACAGCTGGCTCCCTGAGCCACAGTGCACAGGCTTTCCCCCTCCTGCTACTGTGCAGGGTGACTGGTGTTGTGGACAGCCATGGTAACTGTTCACCTGCTGCTGCTCTCCAGCAGCTCAGTAGGCCAGCATGAGATGCAAGGATTCAGGTGAGGAGACCCACCAACACAGCTGCATGTGCTGAAGTCAAATACAAGTGCTCTTATAAAAAAAAAAAAAAAAAAAAAAAAAAAGATAAAATCACATTTTAGAGACGAAGTTAAGTGTCTGAGAGTTCATTACAGCATGACCTCTCCTGAGTTGAAGCTGAAGGACTGTATTCAAACAACAATTTTTAAATTGCCTTGGATGTCTTTGTTTTGTAAATAAAGAGTTGTTCTCTTTGGCTTAAATTAGAAGCAGAGTCTTGGCCTAAAAATTTACACTTAGTTGCTCAGAAGAGCATGAAACAAATTAAATAGCAATTTCACTTGGGAAGTAATTCACTCTTTCAAAAGAGGGGATGAGGGTCAGAGTGGGAGGCACTGCTCTAACGTTTTCTTTTTTCTGATTTTGGGTCATTTGTGGTAATAGCTCTGTTTTCTAGTAGCATAGGGTCCTATTACAATCTCCATAGTTTCACTGGTTATATACAGAAAGTCTGCCAAGATTAGGGATCAGGAAATAATGTATATACTTACAGTGATGCTATCTTCATTCTCTTTGTTGGAAACATCCGGAGAAGTGATTTGATTACTGTTATTTGTGGTGTCTCCAAGATCATTAGGCGTGGTTTCATATTCTTAAGAAAGGGGGAAAAAGGGTTGCTTTTATTATTTCTTAACTTCAGAAGGGAAAGAGTTGTCTTTATTATTTCAGCTCTGTAACACAGTAAGGTCAATAGCATATCTCAATACATACTTGCTTTTGTATCTGGTATACTATGGAGGAGATCCCTGTCACAGACAACTTTAAACAAATATGTTGTGACTGACAAACTGGAAAACAGAAGGTTGCTCTCTCTGCAGCTTTATAGAGAAGCAGTCTATGTCGTCATCTCTCTACTGGAAAACCTAGAGTTAAATAAGAACTCCATTCATAAAGCTATTTTTATGTGTTTCTGACTTCCCATTAAAAATGAAAGACTGCCCTCTACACTGAACTTCTCCAGCCTTGTATTCAGCCAAATATAGGACTGTCTTAGAAATTAGCATGGGGACTTCTGTCGAGCTGAGGTGAACTCAGCATGGCTTTTTAGCTCATTTATAACTATCAAATGTGAAATACCAGTTTTTCTTAGTTTAAAAAGTAATTAAAATATATTATTGAGTGTACAAGGGTTACAGTCTAGCATGACAAACTGTCACACAGATAAAACTTTAAAGAATTATATGCCTGAAACAGTATGAAGAAATTTGATTTATCAAAGTATTCCTACTGACATAGGTGTGCATTTGAATCTATTCCATCAAAAGGATGAACAGGCTTCAATTATTTATAATTATTTAAAAATGAAACAAATATATTTACAGTCCATGATTTTCCGTCAAATTTATTCCAATGAGATAAAAATAATTAAATACTATTCATATTTACTTAGAGATACATACATTAAAATACAGAACAGAATATATTTTAAGATTACATCTGGAAATATACATAATGTTTCAATTTTATGACTGCAGAGTGTGCAGATGAAAGAAACAAGGGCAATAACCGCATCTATTACTAATGCACCTCCAGCATTGTAATTTAAATTAGCAATTAATTGTGCATTTCTTTGTACATTTTGATTAAAAACAGTTCCATGAGCCTACAGATGAAATCATAGCTGTGAATATGAAAAATGCAAAGTGCAGAGGCACAGCTTTCACTAACCGCACAGGCATTAACCCTTGCTGCTTAGCATGGGGAGGAAGGAAGGGCTGTGCCTTGGTAGAATTTGTCTTCTTTAGCTCCCAAGGCCATTTTGGAGAGCTCAGCTGGCACTGCTAGCAACAAGCGGCACCAGGTTTTTGATCTTCATGCATGCACAAACACATTTTCTGTCTGTAAAACACTCAGCAGGCTGCAGATTTTTTTGGATGTGAACCCACACTCTGCCACCAGCGCTACAGTCAGTACAGTCGGGTTGTCTAATCAGCTCACGTAGTCTGCTCTGGCTCTATACCACACATGCCGAAGGATAGGATTTTTTCAAGTCAAAATACATATTATGTCTACAGAACTTTCATGGGAAACAAAATTTAATTTCCTGGTCTTTTACCATTTGAACTCTCCAACTCAGCACTGTATCTATGTCTACAGCTTCCTCGACGATGAGGTCAAAATACTAATGAAAGGCAAACAAACAGTATTCCTAACTCTAGGCAGCATAAACCCTACCCAAACAGCTCACCTGCACAAACAGCCAAGCCTTTGAGACAAGGAACTGTGCAGACCAGCCTCTTACTACACATTTTGCTACAGCAAAGGAGGAGACTTCTGTTTTATTTATTTGTAGGCAGTACACAGGCTCTTCACCAGAGCAGAATCCTGTTTGTAACAAGCATCTCAGCTTACGAGAATGGGCTTTCTGTACAATTAGCTGCTCCGTGTCTTCACTAAGGTAATTTTGACCAAGCCCATACTTACAGTAGCTTTACAACAAGACCAATAAATAAAACAAATATTTAGAGCCTTCACTAGTCTCTATAACACAAATTTTCAAGAGAGTTTTGGTTTTGTTTTTTTCTCTTAATCTCTTTTGTTTTTTTCTCTTAATCTTACCTATAAATCATGGAAGGTAAAATCTGATGCTCTTTGCCATTCTGTTTATGTTCAAATTTGTCCTAAGCCACTGGGAAGCATATCCTGAAGGATTAATGAGAACTATGCAAAGCATTTCAAGTCTGGCCTGTGAATCCTCTGAATACAGTTTTACGTTAAAATGGGCAAGAGAAAATGTAGGCCATTTCAGTACACTGGTGTTGCACTGCCATTTCCTACTGTATAAGTGTGAAGCATTTACTTGTGAATTATTGCCAGATTTTCAAGTTGTCTTGAAATGGGCAAGCCAGGCAAGGAAAACACACACAACAGCTATCCAGCCAAAACCAGCAATTCTGACTTAAGCAAATTCTTGTTCACTTCACTACAAAATCCTGCTACAGACACATAGCATTCTGATAGAGACAGGGTCACGCCTCTCAACTCACTCTCTGGGACTTGTATAGCTTCAGGGCCAGATTCCCTGGTGCCTAGCACCTTATACATCACCTATAACCGTGCCAACATCTTGAGCTGCAGTATCCTGCTGCTGTTCTATAAGCAAGGTGCTAAGCAGCTGGGACACAGACGAGATCACCACAATAAGAACCAGGAAGTCATTTTGCACAGCTCCCTTGGGGCTGAATGCTTCAGGGCATATTGTCTCTCACGTAACCATGTTAGAAGCAGCATGTCATGGAGACATGAGCTAGGAGCCGAAGAAGATGGCTTGGCATCAGTTTCCTGCTCAGCCCCAGGCAGGCAGCACTGCCTTCCACTGCCTCTCCCTATGCAGCATCACAACAGCTCTCTTCTTCACTTTTTGCAGGAGGCCCACACTATCCACAGGCCCGAGACAAGAACCCCAAGAAAACACAGCATGGCACAGGCTGCTGCTGCCTCATCGGATCTGTTTCCCACAGTATTTTTAAAGCATTTAATGAGAAGCCTTTGGAAACCATCTCATAGGGAGTGCAGAACACAGAAGGTCAGGTCCTGAGGGAGGGAGTGGGCCATAAACCTTCCTTTTAGCACCATCCAAGCTGTGAGTAAACATCAGCACAGGGATCAAGCCATATGAACAGGAGTCATGGAAAAGGCTCCATCTCCAGAGGGAGGCAATCCCAGTGGGTCCCTGACCACCACGCAGGCCCTGGTTCTTCGCGGAAGTGAGGGAGTTTCTTGTCTTTCCAGCCTGCCTTATATATTAATCTCATCAACTGGGTTTGTGAATTTACAATAATTAGGGAAACACTCTAGACTGCAAAGTGTTTCTCAAAGCAAGTACTGAGTCACTGAAGCAAAGATCAAAGACAGCTATTTCAAACAGCAGAGAGAAAAGCCAGAAATAAAAAGGAATACTGCTTTCATCAGGACAAGATCTTGCTGGCTCAGATTCATTTGCACAACTCAGAGCGCACATCTCAACAGAGCCTACCAAAGTCATTTGAAGCACAGTGCTCGCAAGGTGAGAGCCAGATACATGCACTAGGACCCAGGCAAAAAACTCAGAACCACAATCCTCATGTATGTACCTTATGTAATAGAATGTAAGTCAGAACCTGTGCCAACTGCCACCACCATATGCATCCCTCCAAAAAAAAAATACTTTGCAAAGAGAAGAAGGGGAAGTGTTTAGTATTTCTGAGCACTTTAAGCCAAAATGATGCTTCAATTGCACATTTGCTAAAGTTTAATGACATGGAATGGAATCAAAGCAATAACATTTAAATCAGCTTAAGGAAACTTGAGTTATGGGCCATTTCATCCAAATAAAAGTACTCCAAATAGGATCAAGCTCCCATTAGAAGCTAGGGGGTGTTTGGGTATGTTAGTCAGGATAGACTTTCATGATCACCAGAATGTTATGTAAAACTAACTAGTTGTTTTTCTGCTTATAGCTTCTATTCCAGTGCATGCTGACTTTCACTAGGTACAGTCTAAAACATTTTGCCTATCTAAAAAGCTAATGTGAACACCATGTCATCAAATCTTCTGGCACTCACTCAGATATCACTGAGCTGATGCTCTGCTTATGCAAGAGAGATTAAAGGAAGGTACAAATGAGAGGGCAAAGAAAAATGAATTGCCTACAGGAAAACTTACTTGTGCCAACTTCATTTTTAAGTGGGATTTAGGGGTACATTTTTGGAGGCTAAACAAGTATGGAAACATTCCTGAAAAATAAATTAAGTTATATAAGGAGAAATCATGAACTTCCTTTCCTCTGCAAAATGCCTCACCAAATCTCATGCCTCTGAGCTACATCAGACAGCTGTCACTTTATAGGACCAATTGCAACCATTTGTAGTGGTGGATTTATGCCTTTCCTAATGTGAATCAAAAGCAGTAGGACAAGTAAAACGTCATATTGCCCTCATTGATTTTAAATAATATAAAGCAGGAGAAGAATGAACAATACAAAATACCTTTCAAAATCCTATTGTAATATGTGCCATTTCAGTTTAGCTGAGATTGACATACAATCTTTTAGTAGTTTGAGCTTCTACATTTCTATAATTAAAAGAAAAGAAAAAGAAAATCAAATATATACCATAAACGTCTGGATCCACAATTGGGCCACTACCTGTACATGGAGAAGAGAAAAAAAAAAAGAAAGAAAAAGCCTTTGTAAATAGATTGCAAATGCTAGAAGAACAAGAGTTTCTTTAGTGTTTTTTAAAGGTTGACATGTTATTTGCAATAGCAGTTACCAGTACCTACATAAATACAAAGCAGCATCAACATATTGCACTACCTATTATCAGATTACATGTAAAATATTTTATAGGTATCCCCAGTGTTAATGCTTAGCTTTATGTGAAAAGCTTACATACAGAGTATTGGCTCTTCTAAAAGCAGAAATATTTCCCAACTGGGCAAAATGCTGGAATAGGTGAAACAATAATTATTCTTGTTGGGAATCAATGATAAAAATCTCCCTGACCTTAAGAGGAAGCATATTTCAGTGACAATTACAATCACTGGCTCTTACCTGATCGAAAAAATTTGCAGTATAAGCATTGTGAGAGCAAACTGCCTTACAGTTGCAGCACTCTGAGCTGTCAAGGTAAGGGCTAGAGTTAGCAATGACCTAACCATCACCATCTCATTCACACCATGAAAGGATGTAATTCAGAAGACAGCTACACAGATGAACTGCAGGCAGAACTCAGTACAAAAAGAGTCAGGTCTCCCACAAGCCAGCTTTTACAGAGGCAAATGGACCCATCTATCTTACCCTTTTCTAAATTTTACTAGTTTCAGTTTCCAAGTTTTTTTATAATTACCACACATATGTAAGTCTAATCACATATGTGAGCATAATGCACAGGACACCCACTGAAATTAACATAGTATTAGATGGTTCACACTTTGAAAGATATCTGTATTATATTTCAACATACCCATTCATCCTGGTCTATAACGTATCTATAGCATTGATTATGTAGTAGACTCCTAATTATCTTTTCTATATACTCACTCTGTTGTTTTGGAAATAAAATTAATAGATGGTTAAAACCTCTAAAGATGAATCAAACTTCAAAAGGCATAAGTTCTTATAATGTAATTCCACACCAATGGCATTACACTAGCATAAAGTCACTGTCAAGTATGACTAGAACAATATTGTTTATGCTTATGTCAGCACAGTGTGAGAATCTGTGCTGAAAATCCAAAACAAAGAGTTGCAAACTATTAGCAGAATGGCAGCAGGTAATTAGGTTTCCCTCTAAATGCATTTGAAAATATTCTACATAGATCACTCTGAAAGTAATGCCACCTATTTATTTCCATGGAAACTACAAATACAAAGATCACAATAACACTATTTGATAGAGATACAAAACACTATCCTTCAATATAGGCACCACCATTAGCTATTCATTAATCTGCATGCCACACTCATCAAAATCTGCACCAGTGGAGGCAATCCACTGTTGCTGTTGCTGCTGCAGAAACACAACATCCATGGCCTCACTGTTCTTACTGTGATCACATTCACTTGCTTTCCACAAATGTTCAGCAGGTATCAGTGAATATCAATGGTTGCCATTTTTTCTGCATGGAGGAATTCAGTGACACACCTTTGCTCCATATGCACATCTATGCCACACGTCATTCTGTCAGACTGCACCACTGCTGCCATCCATTGCACAACAGCAAAACGTTAGGAAATGCTGATGGGAATGTTCAACCTCTACTGCCATACCATCAACATCTGCCTCTGATGTCATGGGCCAACATAATAAAATAGGAGGCATTACTTTCAAAGCAGCCCTCGTAGTATCCAGATACATAGCCTAATAGACCCCATGAGAACTGCTGTGAAAATAAGCAGGAATGAGTAAAAAGTGAAAACAGCCTGTAGTACTGTCTGTGCTAAAGCAACTTATGACAAGGTTTTCCTTCCATAGTTAACAGATTCACTTTTTCCACTGTAAAACATCTGATAAAAGATGGTATTCCTAATTTACTTCTGTAATTTCAAGGAAAAATAACAACAACAAAACTCCCAGGCCTTTATTTCCTGAGTTAAATGGCAACATTTCTGTTACTATTTACAGGAATGGGGCTGAAGCCATCAAACTAGTTTAACCCTTAATTCCTGCGAGGAGCATTCAAGCTAGAAAGTCATTGACTCCATTCAATATCTTTTATATAACAAAATATTTTACTTCAAATAAAATTGCAAAAATCAAGATGCCGGACCAAACCCAAGTTTCTCTTTAGTATTGCCTATATAAAAACACATCTTCTCAATCATCAAAACATCAGTTGAAGCTACTTTAACATTAAACTTCACCAGAGTAATTTTGCGTGTTTACATGCAATTAATTATTTTTTAACAAAGAATATAGTTGTTTTGGTCTCTGTTAGAACAGGTTGTTGTAAATAAACTATTAGAGATTTATGATATTCACTCATCTTCATGAAGTACATCAACTGCACTTTGTTTGCGTGCTTCTTTCTTTATGAAATTGACATTTGCAAAATAAAGCAGCAGCAAAAGTCTCAATCCAAAAACATACTTTTGCAAAACAGACCCTGTTGTTATGCCACACAAGCAAGATGCTACTTCTGAAGAATATTTAACATATTCTTTTACTTTGACAAGGTACTATGTGACTTGAATTCCTTCCACTGAATTTTATATTATAGCGTTGGTCGATGAATAAGCTTTCCTAAAAACAATTATTATTGGTAAAAATCTCTCCAGCACTCATTAGATAGTATGGATCAACTCTGGGAAAGCTCTCAGAATAAAACATGAATGTTTTCTGCCTATTGTTTGCCATAATGTGCTCCGAATAAACAAGTTATCCTCTCCAAAAACAGCTACACTGGAGTTCAAGAATTTTATCAGATTAAAATTAGTTAAAAATCTAGGTAGCAAAGCCTGAAATTTCTTCTTCCAGATGTTAGCATCTAAAGCAAAATTTTAATTTACAGCACTAACTGTAATGTCATTAACACAATCGAATTTCACAATGTGAAACATTTGTTTCCCTTTCCTTTATGTGCACTGTTGATGCTAGGAATATGCTGTAGACTTAGTCACATTTATTTTAGGTAAATGTATAGTTTATCGGTGAGGGCTTTTTTTATATTTTATTTTATTTTTTTTTACCTGCAGTTCATTTGTCTGTAAGTGATGTTAATAACCAGAGAATCAGTTCAAAGCTCAGTGAGGATGCCCCACCCCATGAGACATCGGGGCTGGTATTTAATTCAATCATGAAGGCATGGAATTGAATATAATACCAGGGTGTGGGCCTTAATCTTTGTGCTTCATTGTACAATATGTGGGCCAAAAGAAGAAACTACACAGTAACGACAGCACTGTTTAAGGTTTTAGAAAAATCCTGACAGAGCTTTAAACAGTAATAGTAAATAATAATAACAATATTATGCATGGAGGAGTCTGTTTTTTTAACCTTTGTTTTTACATCTGCTTCAGTAGAGGAGACAACAATGTAGTGAAATATTAGAAAGCTCAAGTCATTATTCTTATAGAAAAAAATCTACTCTAACTAAACCAACATTGAGAAAGCTAACTAGATAAGCACTTTCCCCTGTTGTTAATTTTTAAGACTGGTTTGGAGCAATCCACCATGCATGAACTGATTTCTAATGCAAATACGTCCTGTCGACAAGTAGTCTAGCTTCCTCCATACTGTTTTTGTGAAGCTTAATCCATCACAGAGCTTGGAAATGCTGAAAAACGCAGCACAGATTATCTTGGAGACCTAAATTCCCTACGAATGTAAAAAAAAATGGAGCAAATAATAATACTATGTTTGTAATTGGGAGGATACCTCCTGCTCTATTCAGTGATTTTAAAGGCTGGGAAGAAGTACAGGGGAGAAGCATAAAAGCAAAACAGAACAGTAAGAGGGATATGGATTGAAGACAAAAAACGATAAATTATTATAGGTGTATTAGTGAAACTGTTATTCTGTCAAGAAAATGAAGCCAGATTCATATTAAATAGTCAGAATTTGACAGAGCTTCCATTGCACAGAGAACATGGAGAAGGTGAACTGTTACTGAGCTGTTACAGTACAGTATCAGAGGATGCCAGTAGCTGGAATCACGGCATGTTCTTGTAATGAGTCTATTTAAGGAAGAACTGCAGAGAAGAAAGAAGAGAGGACTGCTAAGGACAGCAGGAGTTAAGAGAGTCTGGCTGTATCTCTCTTCACCTTCTCTTTCTAAAGGTGGGAAAGGAAAGGACCTGCTATGTTTTGCCCTGTAGCAGATCGAGTCGTTAGGAGCAAACGCTAAGTATAGACCATATTTTTACTGTCTCTAGCCTGCCTGTACTTCCGGAGAGAGAGTTTAAATATTCACATCTTCTTCTGTCAGATAACATCAGCATTGCACATAGCCACTTCAGAAAAGAAGGCTTTTTATATTCTGTGATTAAAAGCTGAAAGTACACACATGCTCATATTTTCTGAAATGACTGTGCAAATATCTGCACTAAAACATGCCTATGTTTCGACTCCTGCTGTGGCTGGTCTGCTCAGAGAATTCTTACAGATAGAATAATAAATTTGCATGTGCATCTACATTCTCTTACATTCACTTCACACGTGGTTCTGAAGATGTGGAGAAACATCACACCACACAGAACATCAATCACTGGCAGTGATTGATTGAGTTAGCCTGCCTTGAGCCTGATCATGTACCGCTCAGAGGGCTGAGACAGAGCAGAAGATGCACATAATTAACATAAACCATTTTGAGCACAGATATTCATAGGCATGTAGGTTTTCAACCTCAGCTGAAACAAATGAGAATTTGACACCTAAATGCCTGTGAAGACCTGAGACTTCCTTCATCCTAGCACAGGGTTACTTGTTTTCTCTCCAGCTCCCTCTTGTGTCCTAAACAATTTGTTATTATCAACTCAGAGGACTGCAATACTGATTTTGCCACAAGACACAAGATGCTATGTGGGCACTCCCTGTGTCTTTGGATACACTGCCTAGCTGAATTCAAACACAGTATAGAACGCTTGTGGAGTGCCTGAACTGGCTCCCAGTGCTTTCCAGGATCAGTACTGAGGTTTGAGAAAATGCTTGAGAAGCAGCTACCTTTCCTCAAGCCTCACCTAGCACTGAGGAAGTTACCCGAAGGAAGAATTCAGAGAGAAGTAGCACAGCCTCCACGGTTAAAGAAAAATATTATTTTACAATGGATTTTAAAGATATTCATCCACAGAAAAAAGCCTTGCTAGAAGCACATTCTCATCAGTTTGCAATGGCTAACACTGAAATCATACTCACCATCTCCAGGCACCGACATGAAATGAGCATCAACCCGCTTTTCATCTTCTCCATACTCATTCTTGGCCAGTAAGGTATAAGCACCATTGTTCAGGTGGGTTGGGTTGTCCAGCTGAAGGCAGCCATGGTATTCACTTTGATTGATAACATGTATTTTAGTACAGATGTATTCAGACTCATTCAATACAGCTCCTTCATAGAACCACTGCAATGTGGGCTTAGGGTTCCCTTTCACAGTGAATGGAATGCACCAGTGGTGGTCCGGGGTTGGAGACTCAATAAATGTGATATTTGGTGCAACTATATTGGAAAAAAGAGTAGACAACATCAGAATATCTGGAACACATCTTTTCCCCACTCCCTTAAGTCATATTTTTCATTCACAAGTATCACAGGAAGTTACTTTCAGGAATGACACCTATTCACAGCACACTCAAACATGAAGCTCATCAGCTCTGTGTAGGTTACTATATTTACAACTGAAACCATTCTTCAGAGAAGAAAAACTAACTGCTTTATCCAAAGACTGGACACCAGTTAGATCCCATACCTGACAGGTGTGGGAAAATCAGTTTCTGGAGAAGGAGAAAAGAGCAATTTTATCTTTACTCTGCAGAAGAAAATGGTGCAGAGCAGTGCTGAAAGAACAGAACAGCACTGAAAATATGTAAAAGTTGGCCCAAAGCAAGCAGTACTGGAAATATCCTCTGCCAGGAATCCAAACTTTCAGATGATTTTCCTCACAGAATCAAAGCCAGTACAGATGACTTCATTCCCTGGATTATTCTGTCAGGGAATGACCATTTTCTACTACAGGTTTTCTCATTCTTTATTCAAACCTGCTAAATGTCTCAAGTTTACAGACTTTTTCTGTTTCCCTCAGGAGACTATTCCAACACCTTGCTCTTTATTTCACTATTGGGAAATTTTCCTTGATATTTATTCTTAACTGCATCCAATTTCATCTAGTTACACTCCCTTTTATCACTCATAACAGTGCCAAGCACAGAATTTCATTTACACTGTTGAAATATTTCTAGTTTATGTTCCTTCCCATAGCTGTTACATATCCAATTTCAACCTACAAGCCATTTGAAGTAGATCTATAGTGATTTTTTCTCTAGTTTTCCCTGTTGTGAACACATACTGAGCAAAGTTTGCCATCTACAAAGAGTTATGTTCCGATCTTCAATTAAACAGAGGGTTGCAACTTGTGAAAAAATGCTGTCTAGTTCACACAAAATGAATTCAGGATGGGATCTTCAATCTAAGTAGCCAGTTTCTCCATATCTCATGCTCCTTACCCCTCTTTGGCCCTGACAAAAAGCACATTATTCAAGCCATGACAAATGAATTTACATCTGGCAGTACAAATGTTTCAAGTGTGTTATTTTCGAACAAAGCAGTTTTTGCTTTACATAATACAAACTTTAACATCTTACAGTTAGCATCTTACAGTTAATTCTATGCATTCTTAATTCCTAAGACAGTATGTATGTATATGCACACCACTACAAACCTTCCCACACTGGCAATGCTTTGGCTTTCAGACTATTGTTTACTGGTTGTCCTCACTGAAGATAAAGCCTTTAGAAATGTATTTTTTGCAGAAAGCAGAGTAGAAGAAGACAAACTCAGCAACTTCTGGCTGGGCTATTCCCAGTATTAACTGCAATAGGCAGTTCACATGCTTCAAAGGTGCTCCTGTTTTAGCAACCTGTGCACCCCAAAAATATTTATACCCAAAAGAGCCGTTAATAATGGGGTTTGGCCTCAGGAGCTGCATGGAGGCCTGGGTACGTACAGAATACCGTCAGTTCTGCAGAGGTTTGGACCTCTCCCACAATGTTCTCCGCCACACATGAAATCCACAGTCCGCTGTCCATGGATGAAACATTCTTTATGGTTAACGAGGCAGGATTCTTACTTGTATCACTCTACAAATGATCAGAAAAACATGCATGTATCAACTGCAGCCTAGAGAAAGAAGGGAATGGTGGGGAATCACTGGCCACAACTCAACAGCATTTTTTGCCTTCCTTTCTCCTTAGTTCTATCAATCTGTAATTAATCAAAATGCTACTTGGCATCCTATCCAGCAGACATAAAACACAGAAACAATTGTAACTATCAGGGGCTGAAGTTTGAAAAGTACAGTCCTGCAGTAAATACTGTACTCATCCACTTTGCCCTGTCCCAGCCAGATTCTGCCTTTTCTGAACACTTCTACCCCTCTACACAAATGTTTTCTTCTTCACTCATAGCCTTGTTCATCCCTCTCTTCCACTTCATGACTGATTTCTTTGGTATGTCCCTTCCCTTGAACTTTTTCTTCCTCCTTCCTTCTTGATGCTTGCTTTATTCTTTCTTTGGTCTCCCTGCATTTGTCTGACATTTCTTACACTGCTGCGTTCTGAGCTCTGGTGTCTTTTCCCTCATCCCTTCCCTTGCCAAATTTCTTTTAAAAGTTTCTTCCTCTCATAAAGCAATTTGTGAGAAATGACATACTTTCTAAGACACTACTGCCCAAGTACTGTTTTATGTGTTTATATACTAAGGCTAATTAAAGTAAGAATTATAATTCTTAGAACTCTTGATTATTGTGATTCTTAGAAAGTTCACAGCACCTTTATAGCCTAAATGCCATATTAAATATGCAGCTATGCTACACTTCACAGAGTGAAGAGGACTGTATTATAACAAAATAGTAGCTAGCAAAACTAGTTGTCAAAGACAAAGTTTTCTTAAACCAGGTCATTCACATGATCTCCAAATAATTACTATTTCCACACTTGAATACTTCATAAAATGCAAAGCTACTTTCTTAAAAATGAATAGAATCAGAACACATTTGGAGAATAAGCAATAATAAGTATCCTTTTTAAAAACTCCTTTTGAGGTACTTTTCTTAGTGTACACATACACGTCAGTGCTGCACAAACAGATAATACACCTGTAAAAGCAGTGACTTTCACCAGCAGTCAATGGGGACCCAGAGGAACAGTTCTGCATACAGAACTGGAACTTTGAACCTTGAGGTAACACCTTAACTCCATATGAGTTAAATGCGTTAAATGCCCCACTGATATCAGTGTGACACTGAGGGAGGCAGAGTGGAAAAGCCAGCAGCTCCCTGTACATTTCTCCACATGCAGCCCTCAGAGATGAGCAGTGCTAAAAAGAGGATTCACAGAAAGGGTTCCAAACACAGATTCGTGACTGAAATCTATAGCAAAAAAGAAAAAAAAAAAATCAGCATAAAAGCTGAATGTGTGGTTAAATCTGCAGGAATAGGGTACCATTTTAATTTTTGTTAACGTTTCTCTCTGTAAAACACAAAAGAGAGAAAAAGCAGGCAAAAACAGCACAGGAGGTGAAGAAAAGGGAGGCAGAAACACAGATATGAAAGTGAGAGGAATGAAACAAAAACAATGCTAGCAGAAAAGGGAAGAATAGTTGCAAATGAGAAATGAGGTTTAAAAGGCACTCATTCTTCCGCTGCTGAAAAGACTACTGTGCTCCACAGCTAAAGTTGCAGCTAGCCTATGCCACGAGCCCCTCTGAAATCTCACACATGAAGTTATGCCAGGACAGAGTATTTCTGGAAACCTTGAAGCAAACTGAACACAGCGTTTCAAGATAGGAGGGTTAAAAAATGAAGTGATCTCACTTCTTGAACAGTATCCCACATTTGTTTTGGCTCATAACTAAAAAAAAGAAAAATAGATGAAGAAAAAGCACAGCTTGGCATAGGTTCCCCAAACGGTCTAATTTCTTGTTCATTATGATGACTGGTGCCTTTGGGTAGTTTTACAGAGTAGAGGAAAATTTAAAAATAAAACTAGAGCTCTGCAGAATTCTTACTCATGAAAGCTGAAAGACATACTGGTCGAACCCTGTGAAGACCCAATATAATGACATCAAAGCAGAAAGTGCAAAGATTAAGAGGTCCCAGAGGTCCTGGTTCTTCTGCATTACAGAAACAGTTTTAGAAGTACACATCTCACACTTTGCACTCATCAGGAATCTTCAGGCAGCCTCATACTCATGAACAGTATGAAGCCAATGCCGTAAAAGTGTAAATAACAGAAGGCCTTAAACCATGAAAATTGATGGAATTTAAGGCGTCTGCAGCTGCATGTGGAAGACACTGCTCCTCATCAGCATCTCCATCAAAACAAATTGTCTCCACTGCATGCACAGTCCAAGGCAAGGACAGAGAACACAAGGGTCTTAGAAAACAACAGTCCTGTTGCCTGGGACTTTGTTAAGAGAATGTCTTCAGACTTCGTAAGAAAATGCCATTTTTTTTTGTAACCTTTTAATTACCTTTTAGTGACCCTGACTTCCAAGACTTCATTGTTGCTTTGTTTTGTTGAAGAAAAATGAAACAAAACACAAAATAATACCAACAATCAAAACTGTCAAATCAATAGGTAATAATGGTCACCAGGGTTTTGGCTTGAAAATACAATACAATTTGCAACACAAAGCCTTTTTCATTGTCAGGATATGTAAGATTTATTCCCTCTGTGTAGGTGCTGAGAAAGCACTTTTGTTTAGTATCCTTATTCACTGTATAACATCCAAGAAAGTACAGTGCTCTCATACACAAATCTCAAGGAGCAAATGTTTGACATTTTCCAGAACCACTGCAGCAGTTAGCCTGGGTTGAAACTAACTGGAATATAAATGTTATCCCAACATTAATCTTCATCTTTTTGATAAGAAGTTAACTAAAGCTGGACATGAACCTTCATTCCATCCACAAGCAGGTATCTCTTCTCTCTGAATTGTCACTTCTTTGAATATGAAACTTACCTCATGGTTTGAAACAAGATTAGTGAGCACCCAAGACACATTAGGGGGTGGCCCTCCGGTTGTATCACAGTACAGTGTGATGCTCTTTCCTTCCACCACAGTGATGTTATAATTGCTTAAGTTTGCTGAGGGTAAGTCTACAACAGAAACAACAACAACAACAAAAAAACCATACATATTTGCTTTTGACAGAAATAGATGCTCATTCTATACAAACTGTATAAGTGCAGGCAAAAACACTCCACTAAACTAGATATTCACCGTGGTCAATTGCCCACAATTCAGCCAGGGAGTACAAACAGCATCTCTGGAAACATATAGCAACAATCTTTAAACTGCTACAAAACATTTTTCTGCTCTCCCTCCACTTTGCATCCTAAGAAAAAGTTACTGCGTGTACAAAAACATTCAGCTAATTTTAAAGGAAAATGCTTCAGGTGGGCAAATAGAATTTACCTTCAGTTTTTAACTTCAAAATAACCATTCTCCCTCTCATTTATTAAAACCAGAAATTTAATCTATCTCTCCGGTACAGTTGCAAAAGAATTTTTGTTTTCCAGGATCTAACTGGCAAGTGGTGCTCTCACTGTCCTCCACAGCACCAAGAGGAAAATCCCACCAGCCCCTGTATCACACAAGAGATTGTAGCCTTCCCTCTCATGCAAAGTTCACAGAAAGCACAGCCAAACCCAAGTATGAGGTGAGGGAAACAAAGCACTGAACAGATCAAAATAGAGGAGAGTAAGTTCAGAAGTGCAGGTTGGCTATTGTATAGAGCTGCTGTTCAAGGCACTTCAGCAGACTTAGCTGTTGCCCTCGGGAAAGCAGAAAAGCAGCATGATGGTACCAGGGAAAAAGGCCAGACTCTGCAAGATCCAGCACTTCCCCTCCATCTCATAGCTATAAACCACTTCACACCTCCATTTTCAGCACCCAAAGCAATGGGAACTTCCAGAATAAATAATATGTGATACACAAGGAAAAATAATAGATCAACCATCTTCAAAAATAATGCCAACAGTATCCAGCATTCTAGCACACAGGACTGACTTCTAGCACACAGGAAGTCATTTGTCACACATTTCTTTGCAAGGCAAATAATCATTCATCATGCTAAAAACATCAGATCTTTCTTAGGTCATTCCATGCTTTTCTATGGAGCTGCTACACACTGTCCAAAGCCTTGCCCTCATTTATGAGGCATCATCATCAGCTGTTCCAGGCAAGTTTTGCCCAGAGTTTATGATCTCAAATAGCCTAACCTATCTGCTATGCTGGATGTGTATGCATGACCTTGCTACTACTTTTCTCTTTCTAAAACAATGGCCCTCTCTGTTTTGTTTTATTTTTCTTTCTTCTCTTTTAAATTAGAGTACTGTAGTTTCATCACAGACTTGCAGGTATAAAAGTTTAAAGAGGAACTGCTTTACTTATGTAAAAAGTCCCAAACAAACAATGAACAATCTTATTAGAGTGAACTGTAACATTTTGATATGTTTGTTTAAACTTCAACGGAATTTGTATGTTTTGGAAATCTCAGGTTTAATTAGTTCATTAGAAATGAAATGAGAGGAACTAACAGCAAAGAAAAGACTAATTGTTTTCCAAGTGGTTTTCTTGCCTACTAATATCAGCATAAATGTACAATAATTGCTTAGACAACTTTACTTCTTTAAGCAATAATATGATTCTCATTATAGGTGTCATAAATTTCTTCTGATATGTTCACTTTACAAATCATATGTTGAAGTTAACTGAGACAAAGCTGGGCAGTCTGTATGTCTTGATGCAGTAATCTGTTAGCAAAGGTAGCCATCTGCTCTCGCCTGCTGTGAATTCAAATCTCAGCAGTGTCTGTCAACTAGTATGGCAGGAAATAAAGCTAATCTTGGGGAACATTTGGATATTAATTACACTGGTTGAGGAACAAGGAGAGAAGTAATGAGATCATCTACCACATAAAGTTATCCCTCCAGACTACTTTGAAAAACATTCCAATTGCTTTTGCCATACCTGAGAGTATGAAGACTGTAAGGCTCCCTTCTTCTTGCATTACCAGGGACAAAGTATACATGATAGATTGACGTTTCACAATGCAAATCTGCATGGTTATTACTAGCACATGATTCTACATGAATCCTCTCATATAAGCAAAAAGCAGCTTTGGTCCCTTAAAACTCTCCTTCAGTAGCTGTTAAATTCTGAAACAACCTCTTCTTACTGTGTGTTTACTTATAGGACAGACAACAGAAATTGAATTCCTCTGATACTGGCTCTGGTTCCCACTAAGAATTTGATCAGGTCCTCTTCACTTGTTGAAGTCTGCGTGTGCCATCCTAGTGTTACATCCTTGAGTAAAACAGCTACATCATGCTTGTAACTGGCCAGAAGGTTATAAAATAACAGTGCTTTTTATTTTGTAGAGTCTTAAAATTATACTAAAAACCAGTCGCTAGATCTTGCAGAAATCAACACAGTAAAAAGTGTGTAATAGTTACATGAATTATATTATAGTACAGAATCATAGAATCACCAAGGTTAGAAAAGACTTCCAAGATCATCTAGTCCAACCATCCACCTACCACCAATATTTCCCCATTTAACCATGTCCCTTTGTACAACATCTAAACATTCCTTGAACAATTCCAGAGATGGTGACTCAACAGCCCACTCCTGGGGATAGCTACCAGCAACAGGCACCGTTCTCCAGTTGCTCCATGTAATGTCCCCCTGACATCATCACTTAAAAAGTCCCCTCCCTAGACCAGAAGCAAGGTCACTCTGCCTGTGTCACTTTTGACAGATTTGTTTAATTTAGAATTAGACTTCTGTATCAGATTTATTTAAAATGTTTCTGAGTAATTAGTTGCATTAAATTTAATCAAATGTTAAGAGTATATCACAGTTGAACGTTGCCAAATATTTTCAATGAAACTATTCACACATATAGTACAGTATAGCATAGTGTAGCATAATCACATAGTTGTGTTTTTTTCCTTTTATTTCCTTTCACAGACGAAATAGGTGGGTGGGAAATAAAGAAGAATTGCTTTGAGATACACTTTTTTTTCATTAGGTATATTGAGTTAGTGAACTGTAATGGAAGGTCATTTTGTCCCTTGTTTCAGGTGTCATCCAGACTGCTACACACACAAATACACATTAGTTGAGAGGCTCTTTTTGGAAAAAGCAGATTGTAAAATAAGACCTTATACATAGAAAAGGTGATGTATTGGCCATGTCAGCAAAGCTGTGAGACCAAACCACAAAACCTGGACGAATAAATAAATGCATATAAAAAACACACTGCACTCTAACAGACACATATGCTCAGTATGTGTGCTCAGCGTATGTGAGTTACCATTTATAAGAGTCAGTATCATTTTGACACCTACACAATCACAAAGATATCCAACCATGCTGCAGTTCTTCCTGATTTAATTTGACTTAATTTGGAAGGAGTCCATTGGAGGGCCACAAAGATGGTGAAGGGCCTGGAGCATCTCCCCTGTGAAGAAAGGCTGAGTGAACTGGGTCTGTTCAGCCTTGAGAAAAGAAGACTGAGAGGGGACCTGATCCAGGTCTATAAATATCTAAGGTGTGGGGGGCAGAATAGCGAGACCACACTTTTTTCACCATTGTGTGGAGACAGGACAAGGGGAAACAGACATAAGCTGCAGCATAGGAAGTTCCGCACAAATGTGCGCAAGAACTTCTTTACAGTGAGGTGACGGAGCACTGGAACAGGCTGCCCAGGGAGGTGGTGGAGTCTCCTTCTCTGGAGATGTTCAAGACCTGCCTGGATGCCTACCTGTGCGACCTGCTGTAGGGAACCTGCTTTGGCAGGGGGGTTGGACTCAATGATCTCTGGAGGTCCCTTCCAACCCCTACAATTCTGTGATTCTGTGATTCCGTGATTCTGCGCGACTGAATACAGCATTTTAGATATCTATTACTTATGTTGATATAGAAGTACATTTTAAAGGACTTTGTATATATTAATTAATACAAGCAATCAAACAAGTTCAAATAGTTTTGTATACTGCCAGCGCAGTTTTCAGGCAGCACCAGGAGAGTCCACACAAGGTAGACATGACATCATCTTCCCACAAGTCTCATCCTGATATCTGTCAGACAGAGATTAACCTATGCCCCAAAGCCTGAAACATAATATCTCTTTCAAACTTTGATAGCATTCATTTTTATAATTCTGGATATCAGTAATAACCCTGCTAGTATACGATTTATTTTTCTAAGTTTGTTCTATTCATAGCTTTCTGCAGCAATGAGCTGTACCTTTCAGGCTGTAAGCAAGAGCATTCCATTTACCTAGTTCCAAAATTTGTCTCTGAAGTTCAGATTTATTGAGCTCCTGCACAGCTGTGAGAGTACAACAGTTTCTCAATTGTTTTTTTAAGACCGCTCTATTTCATTTGTTATTCTCATGTCACTTTTCTTAATAATTATCTACCCAAAGCTTTTCAATCTTTCAAAAAATGGGAGGACAGAACTTGCTATTGAATATTCTAAATTGTAAACTTCAGTTTAATGGCTGGCAGCAAGCATATACTAAAATTGATGTCTTTGAATTCAGATAGGAACAACCTATATTATTTATAAGCTATAGTATTTCACCACATAGAGAAAATCTGCTTTCATATTCAAATTGGTAATACTTTTATCCAAGGAATATTTAGCAGTTCTTGGTTAGGACAAGCACAACTCACTCAAGCAGAATGAGGCACAACACAGGCAAGCAGGAAGGACTCATTTTTGCCCAGTGAGTCTCTACTTATCCTTAGAAGAAACAAAGTCTCACTTAAGAGAGCACCTATTTACCTTTGCAGACCACTGTTAGTGTAAATCAGTCACTTGAAGTCTGTATTACAATGGAACAGCGAAGCACCACTAAGGAATGTCTTGTATCTTTCTTCAGAGTGCACAGCCGGGACTTCAACAATCACTTTCAGCCAAATTCTTTGGCTGAAATTTTCAAAGGTTACTACAGTATTTGGCTAAATATCTGTCAAAGAGAATTAACACAGAGAGTATGTCCAAATTCCTAGAGGGCTTTCACAGTCCTCATGCTGCTTCTTACTATCTTCTATAGAAAATATACACTGGCCTTGGTGGAGCA